AAAAAAAAAAAAAAAAAAAAAAATCAAACCCTAACTTTTTTTACATTCTGGGTTGAGCCACCAAGTCAATGCACTATGTAAAGTGTTGATTGATGCACATATAAACACAGCAAACCTCTTCATCAAGGAAAATCATACAGGTTTCTTGCATTCAAGTCTAAAACACATCTGTGGGACACCACAGAAGAGGGTGGATCTCTTCCTATCACTCCAGTATGAATTCAAGGAACACAGATGCCAATCTATACAACTACCTGTGTGTATAGACACAGTAACAGCACTAATATATTTGCCCTTCTGAATATACAAGCAGCATTTCTGACTGGAAGAGAAGTTTTAAGATAGGCCACTCATTACCAAAGGATGCAATGCTTTATAGATCCAAACTATGTCCTTGGTCTAAGCAGAAGAGCAACAAACACTCTGGTTGTTAGGGTACGACACTGGCTTGCCAGTAACACAAGTTCTAATCCTGCATCTGTCCTGCACTCCTTCAGTTAAACACAGGTTAACAATAACAACTATTTACATTAAAACCTCGTTCTGTGAAAAGCAGTGACTGCATAGCTGACCCACTGATACTTTTGCATTTTAAACTGCCACAGAAAAGTATGATGGCCCATGGGAGACAGTAAAACTTCCAGCTGCTGCTGCTGAACTTTAGAGAAGTCATCAGTTGCACCTCTCTGTCTCTCACCTAGCTGACCAGCACTGGCTGCTCTCTGGGACCCTGCCAGGCACAGCCCAGGAGAAGGAAGGAGAGTGAAAGTAACTGTCAGCTTTGGTGCTGAAAAGACCCAAGAAAGGACAAGTGCACTCCTCTAGGAGCAAAAAGCTGCTGTAAGAAACAACCCAGAGAAGATCAGCATCTTCTCCAACGTTCACGTTTTTGTCAGAGATTTCACTATTCTAATGTGATCTTCTGACTAGGGTGTAGATGTGGGTTGTGAAATTAACCATATCACTTACAGACCAATGCAGTATATGAACCACAGAGACACAGTAATTCCCTGTCAGCAGACACTTAATTCTTCATTGCACTAAATGCTGTATTATTTTTATAGAAAAAGTAAAATCAAAAGTGAGTGGAGGGAGGCAGGAGTGAATGTTGGATTAAAGGACTGTGCTGGTATAAAAGCACAAGTCTTAGTCAAATAACTGGAGCAATAACTAGTCAGTCATCACATTTACAGTTTAATTTGGATATACCTGACTTCCTCGGAGTGACTATAAGACCAGCTTGATTTATTTATGCAACGGGTACTAAATATATAGCAAATCAATTGTCACACCCTAGATACTTTAGATAAACACAGTTAACTTGGCCTCGGTACTGACTTATTTCTGTGTTTCACATATATTCCCAAGGACTCTAGGTTTCAAATAGAGCTTCTTTAAGAAAAGGCAGAAGAGCAGGTCAAAAATTCTACCCTGAGCACCAAAGGGAATACACTCACCCTCCCCTGTCTCCCCCACTCCTATAAAATCCAAGAACAAGCCCTCTAATAAGCAGATCTTACCCCAAACTAGTTTTCACTTTCAGCGACAAATCTTTGTATCAAAATAAATAATAACTTAACTGAATAATAATTTCCCAAGAGAAAGTACTGTTTTCAACATCCAGTGCTATAAAAGAAATCCATAAACAGGATTTGCAACTTGCTGGCGTACGAGGAGTTGTTACTGCAGCCTAACCAGATTTTGCATCTTGAAGGAATGCCCAAAACGTGCCTTCACTGCATACGGCACCAACTGTCAGTGACTGGCCCCAAAGAATCCAGATGGTTTCAGCAGCTCCTAGACACAGAAACCTGACTTCAACCAACCAACCAAGCACAAGGAACTCTTAACTACAGCAGCCCAACCCACCTCTGCATGAGCTAATTTACTCAATGCAAGTTAAATTAGCATGCCCAGAGCTCCATGCTATCACTGCCAAACCACTTCTGATACTTTTCTACTTTATTGAAAGCACACTCAGGTAACTACAAAACACAGTGGTCTACAATGCAGACATACCCTTAAGGTTTGAGATTATGCCAGGTTTTATCCATAGGTTGGGTTTTAAAATGCTTCTAAAAAGGTGGTAGCAAATAATCTTTTGAGTTTTTCTTTAAAAGACTCCACATAATACACAACCAACTCTCTAGATCTCAAAATCCCTCAAATCCAACTGCAAATCAGACTCGGGAGGGATGGAGAAAAAAACTCTGATTTGTTAGTAAACAGCACTCTGTATGTGCCTGTTCATCTAGCTGGAATCTTTAGTTGAGCTTGGCATTCACCAGAGGCCAGTGATGCCCTGCATCCCCAAGGAGGTCATGGAGAAGAGAAAGCACTCAGCACCTCGGTAGGGGATCTAGTGGATGGGAAGACTCCAATTGTCCCTGCATTAACTAAAACCAACAGAATAATTGAGACATTTAAGACAGGGTTTGTCAGATAGGAAGGAAAGACCCTGGGTTTCCTGGAAGAAGATATTTACAATGGAAAGGCACATGTCCTGTGTAGTCATCCTCACCTCCCACCTCTATTTCTTCTGGTAATATTGTGATTAATTTGGAGTTATACAGCAATTGCCACCAACTGCCAAACTATTCAGTAATCTTTACTAGGCCCTCCAGTTCACTGTAATAATTTTAAGTATGACAAAGCAGAAATCTCTCATGATCATTTATTTATCACTGCTGAGAAACACCAACCAGTGTCCACTGTTCTCTGGAAAGCCACCACTCTGCCCAATAAGGCATACATTACTATATAATCTGGAGCCTTTTTCTTTCACAGGGTTATTGACTCTATGGTTGAATTAAAGCAAGTTGCTTGCACTACTCTTTCTACCCCTGGTATTATTATAATCACTGACCTTAAGTTTTCTAAAGAAACTTAAGATTCATCTTGCTGTAGTATTGTGAATACACAGTGGTAGCAAAGTCTCTGCAAGCCACATCAAGATTCATATATTTATAGCATACAGGAGCTACACTTAAACACTGTGGAACACAGACACCTTGGCAATTTCAAAGTTTAAAACTGTTTTCTTTCATCATATTTACATACAGGTAAGTGGGGTTTTTTTGAGTATTTCAAGTCAACGTAAGCGACCCATTGCTTCTGAGTTGCAGTGGGAACAAGGCATCTATCTGACTTGCGTGACTGAAAATTTCAAACAGAAGTAATGACAGATACAGCTAAGTTTGTTTCAATAAGCACCAACTGCTTTATAATTCACAGCTGATAGTCATTTAATTTAAATACTGATAGTCAGTCCAGTCCTATTGGTATGTAACTATATTAACCATGTGCCTTTTCAACTGCATAGAACAGATTTCAGTAATGTGCTCACCAAATGCTGAATCCTTGCTTAATTATTTACTTTCCTAATCATTATTTTAGGATGTTTATGTAAGAAATAAAATTCTTTTCAAATCAGAGGCAAGTGAAAGGTAACCATTGGAAATCACAACATTTTGACTTTGAAATTATAAGCATCATCTGACTGCATCTGCTAAAATTATTCAGGTCAGCCATAACAATAAAAATTTCTCTAAATTTCAAGCATTCTTGCAAATAGGAGTATAAAAAGAAATTCTTCTGAAGCTCCCATATTTTGGCAAGACAATGGTGTATGCTACTCCTTTACAGCAGCTCAGTAGGCTCACCTCTACATCTTGTCCTGTCACCCCTATCAGTAAAATAATGTGTAGATATTTTACCAGACAATGTGTGCTAGTGCAACAGGTCTGTAATTCACTACAGAGTTGATTTTAAATGTTCTTAAGTTGCTTCTGTCATTACTAGAAAAAGAAAACACTATTTCATATACAAGCATGGAAGAATTTCCACTCAATTCACCTCATATGGCTATTCCAGATATACCATTGCAAATGCTTAAGATTCTTTTTCTTCAGCATAATGACAAGCAATTGACACTAAGTGGGAGAAACTTCATATAAGAGCTTAATTATTTTTACTCCTAATATCTGCCTACTGGTTAAGAAAGCTACTTATTCTCTATAGCACCTTAGTCCTACTGAATTGCATTGTCTGCCCACATAAACAGGGCTGTCCAAGTTCCCAAAGATACCTGACTAATACACAGATCTGTCCTCTCATTCAGAAACATAAAAATGGACATTTACTGATTTAAAATAACATCTCAACACAAATCAAGAGATTCACAAGTCTCAAAAATGACGCTTTGTGGTTTGCTGAATCGGGGTCAATCACTTCATCTTACTACTGTCTTGTTCAGTATTACTACTGTCAACTAAAACCCTAAAGTCCATGGATTTTTTTAAGGCAGACCAGAGAGATTTTACAAAAATGAGAGACTTAGAACTCAAAGTGCAAGGTTAAGCAAGCATGAGCATACAACCACAGGTCTCAAGTCGTGCCTTCGATGAGACATACCCGATTAACCCCCTTGTTCTTTTCCAATGCTTTATATCCTGATCACAGAATGTTTCAGGGGAACGCTGACCAGCAGCACGTAAGTGGAAATTAAAGTAAGAAAAAGTGAAATAGCAATTCCAGCAGCCTAAAGATCGGGGCACTGAGAAGAGAAAGGAACAAATTTCAACCTTATGCTCTATATATTAGCCAACAGTCTCACTACTTAGGATGAGCTATTTTGATTACTTCTAATAATCTCGAAATTTGGATACTTTTAATGCTGTTTTGATTCTTCAGAGTTTTCAAAGAAAAATATCCCTATGGGCTCACTGAAGCAGCAGAAACTTTATTAAGTCCTTTATTCCTGCAGTCCCTCAGCCCCAGCAGCCATGTCCCACCTCATGATCAACATTTCCACAATGCCAAGGTGAGTTTGCAAGTTAGAGATACCCACTGCCAACTGGTTAAACTGAACCTCACACGCTAGCACGTCCCTGCATGGCTTCATCTCTGCTCTCCCTTCATTCACACAAGCAACTCGCCACCACTGCGTGAAAATAAAGGTCCTTTTTGTTGACAAAATCAGAATGTTTAAGCTTTCTCTTTTGAAGGAAGATTATTGAGGACAGAATCTCATTCATTTGCCCAAATTATCTGCAAGTCCAAGAAACACCTACACAAGGGGGAGTTTGAAATTTTGGTCTAACTTGCTCATGATTTGAATGCACGCAACTGGCAAAATCAGTTTATTACCTTTAGCTTTCTTCAGACCATGGCTTTAATAGAGAACAGTTAGTTAGCTCCTGCCACCTTGTGGGACTCCATGGATTTCCCTAAAAGCTTGTTTCAGCAGCAAGCTAGTCAGTTAAAACAAATAAACATTCAGGAGTTACTTTCCTCGTGTTTCATCATGGTGAATGTTAAAGTAAGAGAGAAATATTTATGGAAAGGGCATGCCATTTTGAATATTTTCTGGTTCATTATTCCTAGCATTGTTTATATAGTTGAACTGCTGGATTTAGTAATCTCATGGAGGTGTTTTAAATATTTCAATATATGTCAAGAATCCTAAATTTTGGAAGCTGATGCATCTAAGTTTAAAATAACACTATGATCAAATACTTGCCACCCATAGTAAATTTCACATATTTGAAATAAATTCCACACAGAAATAGTATGAATTTATGAAAATCCTTGCAGTCAGGTGCAATTCTGAAACCCAGTAATAACCTTAGTCTTATAAGGAATTATGCATGTGTTTAATTTCTAACATGGTGGTGACACATGTCCAGTTCTCCCAAAAGATCTGACTCCACATGATGACTTTTTAACTGCAACCTGACTTTGTATTTGTGAGTCTTCTCATACCCTTCCACCCCACATGGCCAACTTAATGAGTGAAGTTCTACTAAGAAGAATGAGACAATTGGAATGGAAGAACTTTTTCAACACAGTAAAAAGCAGGTGAAGATCCATGGATATCCATGCTCATCTCTTACATGTCACCTACTGCCCCTCGGACAGGTAACTCGTCACACTACTCTATGGAAGTGCAAAAGACAACAGCAGCTGCAAACAACAGAAAAAGGAGGTTCTCATTTTATCTAAGCAAAACCTCTGCTGCTACAGATGTCAAAAATGGAAAAGCACAGAGGAGTGCAGATAATGTGACTCCATGAACCTGATCAACAGCCTCAGTGAACCTGTTCCTTTCTATTCTCGGTACCAAGTAATTTGTTACAGATGGAAAGAAATGCAAGAACCGTTAGGCAGCACTTCTTCCCCTTCCATCATCCCACAACTGCTTCACTGAACCTGGTGGAGATCCACCCTGCTGTGTACTTGATGCCAACTGTAGCAAACTTAACTCCGTGGAACTTCCTTCTGGGAAAGGAAAAACTGTCAACAGATTCAAAACAGGAACAGCTCTTCCTGACGTCACAAGCAAATCATCTCAGTAAAGGCCTCAGTAGCTCATAAATAAACTCGAGAACAATAATTAGAGATCCACAGCCAAAGGAAATACAGCAGGAATGTCCTCTTTCATCCATAAGCAGAATGCATTTTTTTTTTCCAAAGGATGAAACAATGACAAAATGTCAGGCAATTAATCGAGTTGGCACAGTATACCTGAGGGACAGAAATTTTGTCGTTTTGTATAAAAATTTTTACAATCTCACAAGCTTCCCTGGTAACTTCACAAGTGGGGCTGTCTCTCATAGCCATCATATTTCTCACTCTCCTTATCTCCTCCTATAGTCCTAGTAGCCATACAATTAGTTTAGAAGCCAAAGTTCAGAGGTGTCTGTTGACAACCTCCGACCACACCTCAGCTCCAGTACCGAGAATCCCTCCCCTCCCAGACCGAGCTGTGTCTGTGTCCTGACTGTCTGGAAGACACCAAAGTGTTCCTCACAGTTGTCCTTACCCATCCCAATCTCCAATACAGGAAAAGCCAGACAGACCAAGAGCCAGGGAGCTCTAGAAGATAGTCCTCAATCTGGATGAACAGGGAATCTGAACTGCAGGGCATACCCTACCCACCCCCAACAGAGCCAACACCTTGGCAGGACAGCCCAGGTACCACCATACTCTTACCTCACTCCGGGTATTAGGAACACAGACATCTCCTCCTCAGGAACTATTTGGTTCAGCCTTTTCCCTGCTCTGGAGTACCGTGATGTTAATTCAGTCTCACTGCAACTGCAGACATGTATCTAAGAGGCACCTTCAGTCCTTAGCTATAGAGAAAAAGAAACAGCATGCTCTAGCACCAGAATGGATCAGATCCAACACCCACTGCAGGTCTCTAACACCATAAAACATACTAGGACATGACAAGAAATTCCACTTTGATACAGGTGAATCGTATCCTGCCATACCCTTTTATTCCCACTTAATTTCTCTACTAGTTCTATTTTCTGCAGGATTACCAATGCAGCAGGAAGATCCCTGTGCTAACTTTCTGCTTGCTTACATTCCCATAGCAGACTAACTGCAGTGCCAGGGAGCTGAGCTACTACCTTGTTCTTCAGGACAGTTTGAAACCAGTGGCAGCATAGGCACACTTCCCATACACTCACTAAGAAGAGGACTTCTCCTCAGGGTAACTTAGTTGGACCTGAAAATAACAGCACTCCTAAGCAGCAGCAGACTGAAAAGTACCTGATGATTTTCAGTTCTCACTGTTGCCCACTGCATTCTGAACACCAGCAGCAAAAACTGACCAGCACTAACTTTGCTTAAAGTTACAAGTTTTCTAAATATCCAGAAGCATCTGGTACAGGTCAAGGAAGCACCACAGCATGCCTTCAGCCTGGTTCCCATCTGAAACGCTACTCCTTAGCTGTCAGGGTAAGATTTGTTTTACTTTTTCTCAGAATATTTTTTTTTCTGCAAAAACATTATTTGACTTTTGCAAAGTTTTGTTGAGGGAACTTTCCAAGCAGTTACATAAATTAATTACTTTATTCATGTATTAACTGGAGGAAGAAGTATTGAAAAACACCAAAACACTACTGGGCCACTTACCTCTTCTGTTTTTATTTTATCTATACCCTTTTCTTTCACTGTCAACTGTATAGTCTTACATTTTAAGCAGAGCAGGGGAAAACTCTGAACCCAATTATCTCTATTTCTTGAGGAACACCTCTAAAAATCACTCAGGTTACAGAATTTACAAACTTCTGTATGTAACATGTCTTATCAGATTTCCAAGAGGAACCTCACTGCTTCATAAACCAGAATCCACAATCAGATCCATCTTCACCCATTGTTTCACTGATGCCAAGCCACAACAGCTTACCCAGAACTGTGCACAAGCCCAAGGATGTGTGCCAAAATGTCTCAGAGTAGGATCAGGTCCCTGTAAGATTAGCTGCATGTAGGGCTTCAGTCCTGCAACTACAATAGCTCTGGGAGACTGCGATGACAGAGACACTGCAGCACTGGTCCCTAAAATAATCAACTATATAAAGATCTTTGTCTGATCTGCAATTGAAGCACTATTCTTAAAAACCAACCAAACATGAAACTTCTGTATTTGTGAAATAAAAATCAGTTCTTTGGATGGTAAGCAGGACCAGCATTCTTCAGGCCAAGCTCCTTAAGATCTATAGGCTGTTTCCCCATTTTTTGTTTTGCTGTTTTTTTAGAAGTTTTCAGGATTTTTATTTTCTTGAAGATATTTTTATTCTAGTAATTCTTTTCCCTCTCCCTCAGATGAAAACCCTACATCGCCCTTGTCTTAAAGATAAGCCCAAATCAGGAAAAACTCAGTCCAAAAGATGCAAGTTTGGCAGCATTTAAAAAAGGTCAGCAGTTAAAAAAAAACCCCAACTGTTAGTTTTTTTACAGTGGAACTGTAGAGCAAGGGTGGGGGATAACTCCCTTGGGATCTACAGAGTTTTACTGATTATTTTCTTAGCTTTCTATCATTTTATTTCACTGTATAGCACACAGATGGCTGGATCTGAAATCAGAAGGTAACAAGGTATTAAGAATTTTCTGTGAAATCAAGTTCTGCCATGATCAAGACTGGGTACCAAACGAGAAAGTGGAACATGCTTAAAACTCGAGGTCAGCACAGAAGTCCACAGCTCCAAATGGTACTAGCCTCAAAAAAGAAAGCACGGGATCCATGGATACTCTGTCTAATCTACTTTAAAAGACAGTCATTAGGCTTCCTTGTTACTGACCTACCATGAAACTACAAGTTTCAACTTGGGACCTGAACTACAAAGTGCCCCACAAAACCCCACATTGCCACAATGCTGACTTCCTCCCAGACCACTTGTGCCAATCCATAGAGCAAGGAGTACAGGCTAGACAGCCGAACCAAACACTCTGAAATACGTAAGTACAGACCTAAGTCTGGCCTAAGAAGCCCTTCTGAGCAGCAGGACATTTTAGCTCATGCCTGGAACCAGCATAAATATGCTTCTATCACCTTCATACATCTCAGATCACACACAGAACATGCTTATGCATCCCTGCAAAAGTCACTTTCAGAGCAGTAGGAAGAACAGAGGGCAATGCTCACACACAACTGAGTTAAGAAGAGACCCTGGCTTGGAACAACAAAACAACAGGCCCAATAACTCTGACCTACAAGGTTATGTTTCTATCATGCAGGACAAGCTCTCAGATGTAGAAGAATAATTCTGAATTGAACTTGGATGCTTACAGATTTGCTAAGTTCACTTAACCAAGTTACTTAACCTGTAAACCTGAAATCAATAGATGACAGTTCACTAACTTTTTTCCACCTACCAATATGGAAAAGGAGTATGTGCACATACACAGGGCAGATATTTTAGTAACAAAGAGGTAGCTGGTATAATAAATCTAATAGTGATGCAGAAAATTGCAGAAAGTTCAGGAGTTCTGTACTTGGTTCTGCCACCAGCCATCTGGTCTTACCTGAACATCCCTGGGTCTACTCTGCAATCTGAAAAACGGGGGTAGTAACATGGTTCTGAAATGTTTGTAAAATGTAGTTAGTTGGTGCCTGTAAAAGTACACAATAGGAGAGCAAAGTGTTATTACACCCTAATAATGTGCTGTTTAACAAAATATGTAACACATAAATGACACCATCACCTGTGTCCTACAGTACACACTCTTAAAGACTTTTTCTATATACTTCTTTCTAAAGCTAATAGTTTTGACCCTCTGGTAAATCAAAATGCTAAAAGTCAACCTGAAGTCCATCTCTAGAGAAAGAAGCAGGCATCTTTTCTAGATCTTCACAAACATTAAAAACAAACTGAGCTTCAGTGTAAAATTTTCCCCAAGTATAACACCACCACTACAATTAATACAACTGTTTTTTTATGCCATGATAGAGCCAACACATAGTAATTGGAAAAAAAATAAAATCTGGACAACTTCTCAACTTTCTGCTCTGTTACTCAGTACCAAGTTTTTCTTCAAGAGACTGCACACTTTACAAAGGAAGAAGTCACCACCATCCCAAGTTTGTAAATGGAGAGAGAAAGAAAGAGGAAGGAATCTTGTTCAAGACCATGAAACTAGTTAATGGTAAAAACTGCAGCACCAGCCAGTGGGTTTTTTTTTTTCCCCCTGTTCCAGCCGGCACAATTTTCACCTTTTGCCAGAATCCTAGAAGGAAGTGCCAACCTTTCATTTGCTTGTTAAAATATAAGTGCAGAGATGGTACATCACCCACCCCTCTGAATATATTTGAGCTTAAATAGTAAATTGTACTAGATACAGCACTGCTTATGTCCCAGGTCGTATATCAAGAAGTTCACTCAGTGACTGGGACACATTTTACTAGAAGCTCACTCCAAGATCACTCTTCTTCACTCCTAACACCACCGGAGTATAATTTATGCATTATTCTATGAATCTGTTCACCTTAGAAAACAGTAAACAGTCTTATTTCAGCTATACCAGAACACAATTGAAAGAAGTACTACAGCATCAGGATACTAGTCTATACCTAGCAAGCAATTTTTTGTGTGTGTATACTTCACTTCTACACCAGTTATCATAGCAGCATACTTCGAGGAGCTAAAAAGCAAACTCACAGAAATGCAAGCACACCCTTGTGAAAGGGATTTTGGTGCTTTTTTTGGTCTCCGTAGCTTAAAGAGTTGTAGTGGCATACTGTATGTTTACACTAAGGTTACTGTATCCATGCTCATACTTTAACCCATGTTTGTACAACAGTAAAATTCACACCAATCAACGGTATTACACCAGTAAAGTACAGATGATCCATAAAGAATCCTCAATGAAATTCATGAAAGTTTTCTTACAGGTCAGACTTTATTTCCACTGAAGTCAATCGCAAAGCTCTCCCTGAACTCAGCATGACAGTGATTAGACTTAATGTGGCACAGCTCCCAGGTAACAGCATAGCTCCTTATTGGATGGGAGATGGAGGAATCACAGACATGGTTAGTTGCCCCTGTCACTTTAGGGGTGTGAAGGGAAAAGTACCTGGTAAAGAGACAGAATCTATTTTGCAGACAGTGAATAATACATAAGATAGTTTGCAAAGGATATTCCCCCTGCAGCTTACCTTATACAAACTTGGAGCACTCGGACTAAGATAGCACACCTGCCTTTCCACTCCCTCTATGCTTGGATGGAGCTGCCATGAAAGCAGACTGCTTGGCAGCAACACTAGTTTGGTTCAGCACTAGCAGAAACATTTCTGGTTGTGAAGATATGATTTTCTGGACGTTCCTGAGCGTAAAATTATTTCACGAAAAAGACTGGCCTGTCATCTAAATATGGACTATTAGTAGGATTACTTCACTAAGTTGATCCATCTGACTAACTCTCCAAAGCAAAGGGGAAAAAAAAGTGAGCTTTAATTGCAGTGATGGGACCAAGCCCCCTCCCCCCATATAAAAAATAAAAAGGAGCGAGGGTGCCTCATTCTTCCCACCAAGTGTTACTGATGTAGTTACAGAAATACTTTAAACACGCACAGCTCCTAGCTGGTTTTGCCACAATCCCTGTGACTAACACAGCCAAATTCTGTTCAGCAGCCTCAGTGGAATTACACAAGCTCTCACTAACTCTGAATTCAGACCAAAGTGAATTCTGTATCCAGATTTTTTAGCCTGATCAGTAGCCCAGTTCAATGTAAACTAGCAGGAAAACACTGCTAAGCACATGCTGAGTAACAGGCTTCTCAGAGACGTCTTAGACAGATCACCCTCAAAGATACCAATTCTCCTGAGAAAAATCTTGGCTCAAATACTTATTTTCTGAAAGGGAAGAAAGCCTCAACATTTCACATGTCTAAGGAGGGGGGGGGGG